TGATAAAATGATTATGAACAATAAATTTTGTTCGAAACGTCATCCAGTAAATAATACTGTTTCACTGTGTGTGTGATACATCTAAGAACAGACTAATATGTAACTCAAATTCTCCGTTTACATATTTCGAGGTGATTATATAACTACACCAAGATTATTCAAACAACAATAGGCAGTGAGAAATCGAGTGATTTGAACCGATTGGCCCCTCTAGACTGATGACGTCGGTCTCGAACTACTGGTTGCTATGATTTGTACACAACTACTCATCTCAATTAATCAGTAGTATGTAGTTATATGCAACTATGCTGTTTGACAAATCATCCGATTTATACTTTTTAAATCAATATGACTCTAAATAGGATATCTACTTGTAGTATACTATTGAGAAGGAAAAAATCAATAATAACCACTACTGACTCAATAATTGATCAAACTGTCAACATGAGACAAGAATAAATAATGATTTCACTTCTGTCAGTATAATCTACTGAAACCACCAATGTGACTTGATGAATCGATAAAGCACAATGCTATTCAACAAGCAGAATAGTCACATGGTTGCTTGTTGTGTTGACCTAGCTAGATAAGTGAATTATTTGACCTGAATACTCTTTACAAACAGACGTTTTGCTTTTGAAACACGTAAACACTCCTGAGAAATTTCGTCTTTATCTCTCTAATACACGCATATCACATGAAATCAGCTCACCAGTGATCGTAAAACTAACAATACAAGAAGACTGGTGATCATGATCACAAGTATCTGAAAGATAAATTCAACTGGTTCAGGTGTTTGTTTATAGCATCCATAAACAACCTGTCATCCTCTCGAAATGCTCTGATGTGACCACTCGTTCACAGTCTTCTCAAAACTGAGAGGCAAAACGTGAATATGTCACCTTTACAGCAGAGCTGTCGGTCCCCTCCTAGGGGAACTGGAAAACCCTGATTTCAAATCTATGGTGTACACAGACTCCAGAATCCGATTTAGATCGAATGATGCACGGACCTGTTTTGAATCAGACTTCAAGTCTAAGATACGGGAGAGAAGTGACGCTTTAAAACAATCACCTCCGCCGGTCTGGACACGTGGGCAGTACTGCAGCCCTCGCAGAAACTGTGAGATTCTGTCCGGAGCATTTCCGGGCGACTACAATGTGAAGCGTTTGTATTTAAATAAAAATTATAACCTCTGTGTATATTCTAAAAAGATGAAGAATATCAGTTGATGTCTACACAGAGTTATGGTATTTGAATCCCATTAAACAACCGAAACACAATGAAGAGCAGTGACCCCAAGGGAAACGCCAACGTAGACATGCAACAGGAGGGGACAAGAGATTTCGTAATGGAATACTTACAAGGAATTTGATATACACATATAGGGAAATTATGTATGCCTTATATAATTAAAATCGTCATTTACACAAGTTCCCTGTGTTGCGCTTCTTCTTCCCTTCGTATTGTGCATGTGTCTGTGTCTCTTCTGCCAACTGGTTGAAATTATGCTCCCTAGATAAGTGAAGGAAATAACCTCTTTCAAATCCCTCCCTCTGATGATGATTAGTGCTGGTTGTTGTTGTTGCTGTTGGTTGGTTATCTCCATTGCCTCTGTCTTCGCTCTGTTCACCAGGAGATCAGACAGACAGACAGACCAGGAGATCTGTCTTCGCCGCCAGCTTCTTCTGAATGCTTGTTGGTTTTCTGCCGCAAGTCTTCAAGTCTGTGTGTGTGTGTGTGTCACATTAAATAAAAATCACCTGCGATATCCAGATCTTCTGGAGTCTTATTTTCGGTGGTCCAGTGTATTCCTGTTTTCTAATTCTCCACAGTTCGATGCATAATCTAGTCCACCACAATTAAAAATATCATCGGTGATAATAGATGGGCAGTCTTGTCTTACTCCTGTATTCACTTCGAATGCCTCGCTTAGTTTCCCTATATGGATCACTTGACACGTGGCATTGCCATATATCCGTTGAATAAGGTTGATAAAGACTTGACGTACGCTGTAGTGTTGAATTAGTTTCCAAATTACTTCTCGGTCTACGCTGTCGAAGACCTTTTCGAAGTCGATGAAGTTGGGGTAGAGGGTGGTTTGACTGTCATTATGTGCTTTGTTCGAAGACGATGCGTTGAGTTGCGATTTGATCAGCACATGCTTTGCCTTTCCTGTTGTCTGACTGGTTTCAAGATAGACCTCTGCACGGATGTGCAGAAGTTCGAGTTTCCCCCACAGAAATATGGGGCGAAAAGAACAGTAATATGGCTATTATAAATCCATAAGTGTGAATGCAGCTGCGCCATCCATTGAGAACAATTTTGAACTATATCACCAATTTTCCCCAGCCTTCATAGGTTCTTACCTTCCGGAGGACCCCAACCTGTCGGGCAGTCTACACCTTCATACGTGGTTCAAACTGTCAATGATTTCAAGGATTCATTCCAAGTCTTGATTTGACCAAGTCAATCGCCCACACTGAAGCAAATGGGTCAAGTTTTGAACCCCGGTGTACCCAGGCTAGTTGACTGTTTAAGCCAATATATGAAGTAACATTTTAACAATACCACATAAAGATTCGTTTAAATGCCTAGAGAATGTAGGTCTAGTTATATTGGCCATAAAAAGCGCACAATTTCCAAAGTCATCTCTTAACCCTATCATCAATGCTTCCTCAAGGGCGGAATACAAGACGACTATTAGCTTAAGTTTCAAACACCTATGAAATTCAGACCATACAACTCAAGCAGAGTCGTCTTTTAAAATTCATCTACAAGGTAAGACCGAACAGTACAAAAAGTGTGTTACGATGTTTCGATATATGTGTATGACAGAGTCGATAGCGATTTGTCAATACAACCCCGAATTCTACTTGCAGAAAAGCTTTGTTGTTCGGTTTCTTATTCTACCATTGTCCTAATCTTTCCATTATCTTTAGTAATTCATCAATTAAGGATATTAGATGGTTGGAGGCAATCGGCAGGAAGCTCAGCCTGACCTAAGTTTCGTGCTAGTTGGCACTCAACAGTCAGCAAGGCGTATCTGCAACCTTGAAGGAACTCATGTACCTTCTTCTGAGATTCAAACCCGCGTCACACAGTGCTGCAGTCAGAGACGCTACCACTAAGCTATTCAGGCTAGCGATTGACCTCTTGTAGGACTGTATTGGATACTTTGATTGACCACTAGCAACCAGTGTGATGTGTCTAGTCCTTTCTTTGTAGCGGGCTGAATTCTATCTCTGAATACAGCACTGGGTAACGCGGTTTCGAATCTCGGAAGGGACGTGTCCCTTCAAGGTTGCAGATACGCCTTGCTGACTAGAGTCAACTAGCACGAAACGTAGGTCCAATGCTTCCTGCCGATTGCCTCCAACCATCTAACATCAACAACTCAAACTGCACCGTAAGGGGGATCTACCTAGAGTGGTGACCACATTACAAACCTGACTGATGGAATTCAGTCTGCACGAAACAAGGGACTAGACACATCACACTAGTTACTAATGTCCACTAAAAGAATTCATCAACTATCATCACCCTTACAATTTTCACCATGTCGTATTTCAAACCTTTACTTCCATCGTACTATAGCATAATCTCTTTGAGTCTTTAGAAACCTCTTCTCAGTGATTATATCAACTGTCACTCCCTGCCCAACCCCTCCTTTTACTTAATAAGAGACTACAATATGCTTTTGGTAAATATAAATACGATTGTAGAGCCTCTGAAGATAATTTCGTCGATAAAGAAAAATTTCTTCGTTGTCTTTTATTTTCTGAATATAGTATAGGACCAATTATTTTTCGACCTACAGTTAATCGACATCATCTGCGCATAACAGCGCGACCAATTTTCTTAAATTACCTACTCTATCAAGATTGTATTATTACTATTCTCTTGGGTTCCGAGTGGAATATAGGTCTTCAACAGGACGTCTCTACTTTGTCCTGTTTTCTGCACTCCTCTTTAGCTGCCCTCATGGTTGCCCATATTCTCTCATCCCCTTCTCACGAGATCTCCTCCATATCACCCTCGAAGCGGTTCTTGGATGGTTCGTCCCCAGAACTTCTTGTCACCAATTCTCTGCGGCCATTTGATCTTCAGTATGCAGTCAGCCAAGACAGCCGCTGATAAAATTCTGTAACTTGTTGAAATTGCTTTGCTTGACGAGTAGTGCAAGTTTCTGATCCATATAGAAGTAACTGACTGTACATTTGTGTTGAAATTCCGAATCTTGTTCTATGTGATGCAGAGTGCAGAAGATTTCCAATCTGGTTTCAGGTTGATGAAGGCGTATCTCGCCTTTCCGATTCTAGCTGACTTGGCTTTCACACCTTCATCCGTTCCATCTGCTTGTGGTTGCAACGATGCTTCCTAGACAAGTGAAGGAGGTAACCTCTTTCAAATTTATCCTGTTGACAGTGATTGGTGCTTGTTGTTGTTGTTGTTTTTGGTTGGTTATCCTCATCAGCTCCGTCTTCTCGATGTTAACCTCGCCTAGTTTACTAGCTCCCTAGTTTTCTAGCCGCTCTCAAGCCCGGGAAAAAGGGAGGGTTGAGTGTGCATCTAGCAACCCTACCCCGGAAAATCAATCGAACTGCTACGGAAACTTCAATGCACTATCAAGATATTTTTTGACTATTTATAATTTTAAGTGGAATTACTAGTCTATATAGCGGAACTGAAAAACTCTGATTTTAAACACCTCTGACGGTGTAAATAGGCTCCGAAATCCCAACGGATCGAATGGTGCATGAACCTCCTTCGATCACTGACAACCAGGGAACACGTAGCTCCTGACGCTGCTCTACTGCCTTGTCGATCAGACTACAAATCACAGGCTCAGAGGTGAGAGTGGCTCCTTAGGACAACTACTCTGCTTTGTTGTGGCATTCCGTCACACAAACTATGCGATTTTTTGTAGCGCATCTATTGGTGCTCACAAGTGATGATGATGCTTCAATTACAAAATACAATAGAAATAAATCATGAGAAGCAGCACAAAACACACAATAATTTTCTTTTAATAACTATTTATAATATAAATTGTAATGGTTAGGATCACCACAATAAAAGGCATACAGAAGTGACTGACTACGTGAATGATTGACTGATTGACTAATTTTTATATTTTACACCTGCACTCATCAACACCAACATCAATATCGACAGCAACATCGATACACGTCTCATGAAGTCAACGTAATTTGTACAGACGAATTAGTGTGCATTCACACTTAATCATGCTTCTTTTCAAGATCAGCTAGTAATTTCTTTCTACGTTTAAGTGATTCCTGCAGAATAGGGAAAGAAAGAAAAAAATAATAAGCCAATCTCAATGACAAATCATTTCAATATAGTGAAAATATTCATTCAGACATTACGTAAGATTTCCCACATGGTTAAGAGTAAAGGACAAACGAAATCTATTCGTAGCGTTATTCTTTTGTAACAACAGAAGACAAGGGTCAGGCAACAGATCGTTCACTGAGAAAATGAACATATATATATATATAAGTTTATGTACAATTATTGTCAGAAGAGAAACAACCTCTTCTGATTGGTTGTTTTCTTGCTTATGACCGTTTCTTAGAAAGGCAAGCCATATATCTACGAATCGTATTTGCACATGTTAAGTCTGCTGTGACTGGTTGATGAGTTCCTCAAGGTTAGGAGGCTTTGTTATTCTGTTGTTGTTTTTTGCTCATGACCCCAATTTGGGACGTGAACACTGACGTAAATTATTGAATTGAATTTTTGATTTTCCCGTCGATTGATTGGACCGAAGTGCTCGGTCTCAGGTTGACATGTCGGCTTCTTGTGAAGATGCTTCGACGATGTCTGGGCATTTAATTAGTATACAATTGGTGGATGGTGGCTAGCAGTGGAATCCAAGATGTGCATTTCGTCTAGTGGATAACGCTTTGGCGTTTGAAAATATGGTCACTGGGTTCGAGCCTCGGTGGGAACATCATCACTCACTGAGAAATGCAGGTACATCCAGCTGATGATTCCCGAATAGGACGAAGTGTGCATCCTGGATTCCACTGCTAGCCACCATCCACCAATTGTATACTGACGTAAATTGTTGTCGACAATTTTGGCTTGCAGACAGCTCTCACCATACTATCCCATCTTGTGAATACAGGACACAAGATTGATTAATGTTAACGAGACAGCTTTCAAAGTCATTTACCGCATACCAACATGTCTTAACTTCGCCTTTACAGTTCGTTTAGTAAATATTGCTGAGACTGTTGGGATCCTCCACATTAAGAAGCCTAATTTCTGCGTCCAAAGAACCTAGTTCAGACATTATCCTTACCTTGGCCATCTAAGTTTGAATGATCCTCAATTTTTTGTGGAATTTTCCTAATCTCAGTTGATATTCTATTCGCTATTATATCTTTATTATTATCATAATTTATGCATCTTTAATGAACTGTGGTAATTCCATTGTGATCTTACTTAACAAATCGATATTATTTAAAAATAAACACTAATATTGTTATTAACTACTAATCTAGAATGTTCTATGTATATAAACATATACGTATATATAATTGTAGAGCCTGAAAGAGGAGGAAATTATCGAAAGGGGGATATACTTTGCTCACTCAATTACTTTGTATTTTATAGATGTCTGAATGAATATTTTCGCTATATTGAAATAAAATTAAGGAAACCTCCACAATAACAAATGAAGGATCATCAGAACCTTGATGACCACGGTAAGTACAGAGAGTGTCTGAACAACCTTCTTCTTTTGGATACATAATTTGGGTTTGCTAATGTGGAATAGTAATAACGAAGAACAATATAGTTTGGTTCTCTAAGCAATGTCAGCTCATGATGAAATCCTGTAACTGACCAAATCCTTGCAAACTAATACATAAATATTAGTATATTGCAGAGTTCTGTTTAGAATTACCAAAAGCGTATCAACTTCGTCGCCTAATCTGTCTGTCTGTCTGGATTCAACATAGAACTTGGCACCGAAGTGCAACAGTTCGAGTTGCCACGTTTCAAATACCACACAGAGGTAGACAAGAAGATGAGTGAAGAGAATCAATAGAGTTTGACAAGTATAAGAGTGAAACAGAATGGGTAATGGTAGAAAGGAATATGAAAGATTACAGAGACTGAATACATCTGCGCTAGCCATTGACAACGATTTTGAGCCATGTCACCTATTGTCTCTAGCCATTGATTCCTAGAGTCCCGAGGCCCCCAACCCGGGAGTCTGCATCTCCCTACCTGACTCAGTTTAACTGTCAAGGATTTCATGGATTGGTGAGGCCATGTTTTTATTTGGCCACCACTGGCTCTTTTCCAACCTGCACCTATATCAGCTAGCAATGCCCGTCGGGGGAGGCGGTGGTTAGGCATGCGCACGCAGCACGTCACCTAGCCATCTTAGTCTATGTAACTTTATAGCCTCGTCAATTGATTTTCCCTCTTTGCCCAACACTCTACGCCTAACGTCAACATTAGTTACCTTGTGAAACCACCTAACGTGAGAAAGAGATCGTAGACATCTATGATCGAAAGCAGTCAACCTTTTCATATCTTCAACGCGTATTGGCCATGTTTCAGAGCCATAGAGAAAGACGAGGAGAACTGCTGAGCAGTACACACGTCCCTTGGTTGATAACCGGATGTCACGCCTACGCCAGAGATGGTGTAAGTCAGCGAAAGCAGCTCGAGCTTTTCGGATCCGTTCTGAGATTTCATCGCCAATCAGTCTGTTGGTGCTAATACAACTTCCCAAATAGGTGAAGTGGTCAACATGTTCTATCACTTCACTCCCTATCACTAAGTTAGGAGTTGACGTGGTTCAGTCCTGTAGCAGCATCTTACATTTTGTAGGGGCGAATCGCATGCCAAACATACGAAGATTGCTGCTCAAGGTGTTCAGAAGACTCTGCATTTTGTCACCATCCTCCCCTAACATGACTACGTCATCTGCATATTCTAAGTCCATAAGACTATTCCCTGGTAACAAGTCGATTCCTAAGTCGTTACGTTCAGTTAAGGATACTTCCATCAGGATATCTATGATGAAGTTAAACAGAAATGGGGAAAGTGGAGATCCCTGTCGGACACCACTGGTTGTTACCAATTCAGATGACAATTCCCCATAAGCCCTTACACGACTACGTGAGTTTGAATAGAGTGCCTTGATTAGTGCAATGTACTTTCTTGGCACTCCCTTCACAGTCAGACATTGCCATAGTACCTTTCGATCGACGGAGTCGAAGGCCACCTTCAAGTTAAGAAATATGACAATTGTTGGACGCCGAAAAGTGTGTCTATGTTCTAGAATCTGTCGAAGAGTGAAGATATGATCTATGCACCCTCTACCTGGTCTGAAGCCTGCTTGATTTTCCCTCGTCTGTTCGTCCCGAGTTCTGCTTAGTCTATGCCTGTCTGTCTGTCTGTTTTCGACATAGAACTTTGCACAAATGTGCGGAAGTTCAAGTCGCCACATTCCGTGTAGCACGCGAAGCAAGAGAAGAAAGTACAAGAAAAGCATAATAGAAACAGTGAGCAGAGGTGTGAGACAAAGGAGTAATAAAGAAATACAAAACAGTTTCATTGGAGATCATAAGTCACAGGGAGTGGATGCATCTGCGCCACTGAGAACGATTTTGAGCCATGTCACCAATTGTTTCCAACCATAGATTTTTGCCGTCCCGAGGACCCCAGCCTGGAAGTCTACACCTTCCTACGTGGCTAAGACCAACTGTTGTGGATTTCATTGACTGATGCCAAGTTTTTGTTTGACCGCCGCTAGCTTTTTTCCAGCCTGACCCTATATCCGCTAACATTGCTCGTCGAGGGAGGCGATGGCTTGGCATACGTAACACATGTCCTAACCATCTCAGTCGATGTAGCTTCACGACTTCGTCGATTGATTTCCCCTGTTTACCTAGAACTCTACGCCTAACCTCCATGTTGCTCACCTTATTATGCCACTTTACACGGGAAATAGAACGCAGGCACCTATGATCAAAGACAGCTAGTCTTTTCATGTCTTCCACTCTCAGTGGCCAGGTCTCACAACCATAAAGGAGGACGGAGCGGACTGATGAGCAGTACACCCGCCCTTTGGTCGATAGTCGAACATCTCGTCTACGCCAGAGTCGGCGTAAACTAACAAATGCGAAACGAGCCCCTTGTATTCGTGCTGAGATTTCGTCAGAGATCAGCCCGTTGGGGCTGATGGTACTTCCCAAATAAGTGAAGCGGTCAACGTGCTCTACCACTTCACTTCCTATTTTTAAACTAGGCGTCGATGTAGTCCAGTCCTGTAACATCATCTTGCATTTGGCGGGAGCGAATCGCATGCCAAACATTCGTAGATTGCTGTTCAAGGTGTTTAGAAGACTCTGCATTTCGTCAGCGTCTTCGCCTAGAAGGACTATATCGTCTGCATATTCCAAGTCAACGAGATTATTCCCAGGTAGCAAGTCAATCCCTGAATCGCTGAAGTCACCTAGGGTTAAGTCCATTAACACATCTATGATGAAGTTGAATAGAAAAGGAGATAATGGGCATCCTTGACGGACACCACTGGTCGTCATCAGTTCAGATGACAGCTCGCCGTAAGCCCTCACCTGGCTGTATGAGTACGAATAGAGTGCCTTAATCAGTGCAATATATTTTCTCGGAATTCCCTTTACAGCCAAGCATCTCCAGAGAACTTCCCGATCGACAGAGTCGAATGCTGCCTTTAGGTCAAGAAATATAATGACTGTTGGACGCCGGTAGGAATGCCTATGTTCTAGAATCTGTCGGAGGGTGAAGATATGATCAATACACCCTCTTCCTGGTCTAAAGCCTGCCTGGCTCTCTCGTGTTTGTGCTTCCCGAGCACCACTCAGTCTACGCATGATTATTGAGCCTAAGACTTTAGATACTATATTAGTCAAGCTAATCCCTCTGTGATTATCACAGGAAGACTTGTCTCCCTTCTTGTATATGGGGATAATCAGTGACTTACACCAACCCGATGGGACTTCTTCTGATTCCCAAACGCTGCCTAGTACCTCAGTTAATCCGGACAGTAAGCTGTCTCCACCGTACTTAAATACCTCTGGAGTCATTCCATCAGGTCCCGCTGCTTTGCCTAGTTTCAGATTGGTGACAGCTTTAGTAACCTCAGTTAGTGACGGAGGACCTGTATCTATATCCCATTCAGGGAGGTGTTGGATGCTCGGAAGGTTGAGCGTGGCTGTGGGCAAATTAAACTGCTCCTCATAATGCTCTTTCCAACGATCCAGTCGTCTATCCTGTGAGCTAATTATAGTGCCATTTTTTTCCGAGATTGTCTCACTAATGATTTGTCTTCTCCCACCCGTTTCCCTGATGAGTCCAAAGAGTTGCCTGGTGTTGCCTATCCTCAAAGCTTTCTCCATCTCTTTGGCTTTTGTCGCCCACCACTGTTCACGGTCCTTGCGGAGACTTTTCGTAAGTTTCCTCTTGTGCAGCTTTCGCTCCTCATTGAATTCGGAGCTCGCCGGAATAAGTCTTCTAGCATCTATCAGTTCGGATGAGGCGGTGGAGATCCAGTGGTTTTTACTCACCTTTGGGTTTACCTTATTCACAGCTTTTACAGCTGTATCTATGGCTGCCTGGATATTTTTCCAAGCTTCTTCAGGGTGAGCACAGCTGTCGAACACAGATATGTGTTTAGCTAGTTCTTCCTCAAATAGGGATTTAGTTTCCTGATCGAGCTGGGGACGTGATGGTTTTACCGCCAGCTGTTTCCTACGTCCGTTCAGTCGTAAGCACACACGAGCCCGGACCATTGTGTGATCACAGATTACAAAACAGATACTCCATTTCGTTTGAGTCGACTTTGTTTTTCCCACTGATTGGTTGAATCGCAATGTTCGGTTGCTGCTGACATATGCATGATTACTGAGCCTAGGATTTTAGAGACTATGTTCGTTAGGCTGATCCCCCCATGATTATCACACGAGGACTTGTTTCCCTTCTTGAATATCGGTATAATAAGTGACTTACCCTAGTCTGATGGCACTGTCTGTGATTCCCAGACGTTGCCTAGTACCTCAGTTAATCTACAAACTAGTATGTCACCCCCATATTTAAACACCTCCGGAATAATTCCGTCGGGTCCTGCCGCTTTGCCTCGTTTCAAATTACTGATACCTTTTGTGACCTCACTTACAGACGGCGGACCAGTGTCTATATCCCATTCGGGTGTGTGCTGGATGTCGGGGAGGTTCAGTGTGGCTGTAGGCAAGTTAAATTGTCCCTCAAAGTGTTCTTTCCAGCGTTCAAGGCGTCTATCCTGAGAGCTAATTAAGGAGCCATTTTTCTCAGAAATAGTCTCACTTATGATTTGCCTTCTCCCACCCGTTTCCCTGATGAGTCTAAAGAGTTGCCTAGTGTTGCCTATCGCCGATGCTTTTTCCATCTCTTTTGCCTTTGTCAGCCACCACTGTTCACGGTCCTTGCGGAGACTTTTAGTAAGTTTCCTTTTGTGCAGCTTTCGCTCCTCATTGAATTCGGAGCTCGCCGGAATAAATCTTCTAGCATCTATCAGTTCGGATGAGGCAGTGGAAATCCAGTGGTTTTTACTCACCTTTGGATTTGCCTTATTCACAGCTTTTACAGCTGTATCTATAGCTGACTGAATATACTTCCAGGCTTCTCCAGGGTGAGCACAGCTGTCAAACTCAGATATGCGTTTAGCTAGTTCTTCCTCAAGTAGGGATTTAGTTTCCTGATCGAGCTGGGGACGTGATGGTTTTACCGCCAGCTGTTTCCTACGTCCGTTCAGTCGTAAGCACACACGAGCCCGGACCATTGTGTGATCACAGATTACAAAACAGATACTCCATTTCGTTTGAGTCGACTTTGTTTTTCCCACTGATTGGTTGAATCGCAATGTTCGGTTGCTGCTGACATATCGACTCCAAGTATGGATGATTCAGCGACCTCTGAGGACTAAGAATGATGAATCCAGGATGCGCATTTCGTCCTATTTGGGACCTGTCGTCTGGATACACACCTGGAATCCCAAAACGCTTTGGCATTTGAAACGAAGGATAGTGGGTTCAAGTTTCAGTGGGGACACCATTTAGTCACTGGTGATTACAGGTACATACAGATAATGAGTGCCAAATGGGAAGAAATGCGCATCCAAGATTCCATTGCTAGACACTATTCACAAAAAACAACTGGCATTGTGTTCCCTCCCTGTTTACTTATACAAACAAGAAAAATTCTAAAAAATAATTCAACTCACTTCAAGGCGCTTAATTTCCTGCTCTTCACGTTCATGTTCCTCTTCTAAATGCTTCTTTAAAGCACGAAGTTGTTGTTGTTGCTATGTTAAAAAAGCGGAATAATTCAATAAAAAATCACACTTAGTTAAATGCCCAGAGTTCAATGAAGCAAATCTCCTTGGCAACGTTTTCATTGCCATTATTATTCTTATTAATATTATTGATTATTAGTCTATTAGATTACGACTGGAACATACGGCTTCTACAATAGCACATTTCCATTTCATTGTGTTCTCTGAAGTCCCCTTTAACTCGCTCCACGACTAACCTATAAGTTACTAGCCCCTTCACATCAATGTCCGATCCAATCCATGCGTAACTTGTCACTTTCCACTTAGGTTTCACCCAAGTGATGCCCTGTGTCGTGAGATGTCACTGGATAGTGCATCCGATCTATGACAATTTTCTTCGTGATATTTCTTGTACTATAGGTAATTGTTTGTTATAAGTTGCTTATTATTATTATTTCCTTTAATTCCTAGAGGAACATAGGGCTTCAGCCGCCCAAGTCTCCATTGCGTTCGGTTCTCTCCCAACGTTTTCACTCCGCTCCAAGTCTGCTCACATGCTTTCATCTCCTCTTCGCATGACCTCCTCCAAGTCACCCTCACACTGACGACCAACTCGCCGCTTCCCTTTCGGGTTCCACTCGAGCGATGGCTTGTCTAGTGATGTCACTTGATGGTTTGTTTTCTCAGAGTATGGCCAAACCACCTACCTCCATTTCTTCCTGCATATTTGTTTCACAATCGGTTCCTGTCGGGTTGGTTCGCTCATTGCCAGATATCCCTCTCTGTGTCTGATCTTTTCTGGCCGGCCATCTGATCTTGAATGGTATTGAGCGAAGACAGCTGTTGATGAAGGTTTGTAGTTTGTTCGAAGGGGCCTTCGTGACACACTGGCCAAGTCTCTGATCCGTATAGTAGCACTGACTTCACATTGGAGTTGAAGATCCGGATCTTATATTCGTTTTGATGCTGAGTGCTGTTGACCTCCACACAGACTTGATGTGAGTAATGAAAGCTTGTCTTGGTTTTCCGATTCTTGGTTTGATATCCTCGTCAGTTCCGTTCGCCTGTAGTTGAAACGATACCGCCTTCCAGGTAGGCAAAAGGGGTTGTTTCTTTCAGGTTCCTCCCATTTGTGCTGGCTGATTGTTGTCTGTTGTTTTTGTTGTTGACCAGGAATCTTCATCACCTCTGTCTTCTCTATGTTCACCTGAAGTCCCTTCTGTCTTTGATGCTTCTTTCTCTGTCAACTTGTTGCTTTTCACTTGCATATCTTCCAGTTTGTGGGAAATCAAACGTATATCATCGGTGAAGTCCAGATCCTTCAAGTTTTTTGTGTGAGTCCATTTTATGCCTGTTTCCTCGCTGCCCGCCGCTGTCTGTCGCATTATCCAATCTACTGCAATCAGGAAAATCATTGGCGATAGTAGACAGCCTTGTCTTACTCCCGTCGCTTATTCTTTCCGAATGGCTATCTGATCTTCAGTATCGTACCAACAGCGAAAGCAGCTGTTAATCAAAGTTTGCTACTGGTTGCTGGGATTAGTAAAGCCGCTTAATCGTGTCTATGAGTGGACCTTTTTTAAGATTTGCCAGGAAAATATCCGTTAGCATAGGAGCCCAGAGGAGAGCCCATCACAACACTGTCAACTTGTCTATAAAAATCACTGTTGAACATAAACTGGACATTCACAGTGCATTTTAATAGTAATTCCTTGACTTTTTTCCAGTGGGATTCCTACATCTATCTTTTGTTCTGTCAGTTGGTTACATAAGTAGTTGACTGTTTCGAGTAATGGGACGTTCGCTGGTAAATAATGATGCTACATCAAGTGAAATCATTTTCTTTACCTTTACATTCAGGATTTTGGTAGTTTCTATAAAGCTATATTCGCCTTTTGCACTGTATATCATTAGTTCACGATGTAAAGGTTCCAATGCCTTTACCAACCACCACGCTGTAAAATTACAGAGAGAATGACACATATCTAGGATAGGACATAGTGGTGTGCTCGGGACTTGTGGACTTTCAGTGAACCATAAAGATGCGGTGTTTCAATTCGCCGAGTGCATACTTAAGAATCAGATTATTCTCAACTAGTGATTTTAGTATCTTAGCCATTTGGCGTCCGTTCAGTTGCTTCACTTGTATCTTATTAACTATTCAGTTTTTGAAATACGATTAATTTTGTCCATATAATCACTTTTATTCATGATAACTGTACCATAGACTATGCGTATATTCAAAAACTAACTGACCATTGTTCTATTCCATCTTACTTATATACTTGTTCCATAATACACCTTCTGATATGTGTCTAATTCTCCTTTTTACTGGGTGGCTGGCTGGCTGACTATTGTATGCTTAAATTAGTCGAATTTATAATTGTAGAGCCTGAAGAAGAAGAGTTTATTGATAGTGACAATTGTTCACTCTAACTATTTTTTGTTCTCAATAAATGATGTGACAATATTCAGGTTATATTTTAAAATATAATGCAAGCTACAATACACTGAACAGATGAGTAAAGAAGAGTGACAGGAAGGACAAAAGAAAATGTTATGAAGCCATGGCAAGTGAAGCAGAACAAGCTGCAGGCAAAGGAGACCTCGCAACACTCTACCAAACAACTAAGTTCCTATCGGGGAAAAGTTCGACATAAATTAAGCCAGTAAAGGATGACAATGGAAAGTCAATCACCTAAGAGGTGGAGCAAAGGAAACACTGGAATGAACACTTCAAAAGACTTCTAAATCGACCGCCGCCTACAACGCACCCAACAATACCAACAACGGTAGCAGAACTACCAGTGAACATCAACCCCCCGACGAGAACAGAAGTCCTGAAGGCAGTCAAGATGTTAAAAGCTGGAAAAGCAAAAGGACCAGATGGAATCCTAACAAAAGCATTGTAAACAGACCCACAGACAACAGCGGACTTGATGACACCACTACTGAAGTGGAAAGAAGGCGAAGTAACCGAGGATTGGGAGAAAGGAGACTTAAGTCAATGCAAAACTGGCGCGGAATTATGCTCCTGTCCATCCCAAGCAAAATACTAAGCTGCATCATCCTGGAGAATCAAACAAGTCCTGGATGAAAACTTTGACCGGAACAAGCTGGATTCAAGAGAAACAAGTCATGTATTGATCAAATCGTCACACTACGGATCATCACTGAACAAAGCTTGGAATGTCAGTCACCTCTCTATCTCAACTTCATCCACTTTGAAAAGGCATTCGACGCGGTCGATAGAGAGGTGATTTGGCAACTACTTCGCTACCACAGCGTGCCGCCGACAATTATACATCTCATCCAACAGTTGTACGACAGTGCTGCATGCCAAGTAATCCACAACGGGAAACTTACGGAAGCCTTCGAAGTGAGGACGGGAGTAAGACAAGGCTGTCTACTATCGCCAATGATTTTCCTGATTGCAGTAGACTGGATAATGAGACAGACAGCGGCGGGCAGCGAGGAACACAGGCATAAAATGGACTCACACAAAAAACTTGGAGGATCTGGACTTCACCGATGATATACGTTTGATTTCCCACAAACTGGAAGATATGCAAGTGAAAAGCAACAAGTTGACAGAGAAAGAAGCATCAAAGACAGAAGGGACTTCAGGTGAACATAGAGAAGACAGAGGTGATGAAGATTCCTGGTCAACAACAAAAACAACAGACAACAATCAGCCAGCACAAATGGGAGGAACCTGAAAGAAACAACCCCTTTTGCCTACCTGGAAGGCGGTATCGTTTCAACTACAGGCGAACGGAACTGACGAGGATATCAAACCAAGAATCGGAAAACCAAGACAAGCTTTCATTACTCACATCAAGTCTGTGTGGAGGTCAACAGCACTCAGCATCAAAACGAATATAAGATCCGGATCTTCAACTCCAATGTGAAGTCAGTGCTACTATACGGATCGGAGACTTGGCCAGTGTGTCACGAAGGCCCCTTCGAACAAACTACAAACCTTCATCAACAGCTGTCTTCGCTCAATACCATTCAAGATCAGATGGCCGGCCAGAAAAGATCAGACACAGAGAGGGATATCTGGCAATGAGCGAACCAACCCGACAGGAACCGATTGTGAAACAAATATGCAGGAAGAAATGGAGGTAGGTGGTTTGGCCATACTCTGAGAAAACAAACCATCAAGTGACATCACTAGACAAGCCATCGCTCGAGTGGAACCCGAAAGGGAAGCGGCGAGCAGGTCGTCAGCGTGAGGGTGACTTGAAGGAGGTCATGCGAAGAGGAGATGAAAGCATGTGAGCAGACTTGGAGCGGAGTGAAAACGTTGGGAGAGAACCGAACGCAATGGAGACTTGGGCGGCTGAAGCCCTATGTTCCTCTAGGAATTAAAGGAAATAATAATTTTAAAATTTAAATAAATAAAGAATAGCCATTTATTTGTACTCGTATACTTTGTGCTGAAATTTATTCAGTTATATTTTTGTTTAATTTGTGAATAACTAAAGTTGACAACACAATGAACATTTTGCTTAAATAACATCGAATCACTAAGCTTTGAAGTTCAAGAAACGTATACAGATGAGAAAATTATTACCAAATTACAACTGAAAACACCCATTAATACAGTACTACTAAAGTGACAATCGGATATCAATGCAAATTATCCTAAATACCACTGAACACTAATGATTAACGTTCAAATTGGATTCTATTTTGTCTGATTATAAACTCTATATGCTCGCCAACAGTTGATGAGAATTGAGTAAGGAGGGGAAATCAACCAACGAGGTTATGAAGAAACTACATCGATTGAGAGAGATCGTTACGACATGTGTTACACATGAATGAATGTCTAGCCATCGATAGCCTTCCTCGACAACGGGCAAGGTTAGCTGACATAGGATGGATCAAGTTGAAAAAGAGTTAGCTAGTGGTAGTCAAACTAAAACATGGCGGCATCAGCCAGCGAAATTCATAACAGCTAGTTTAACCTAGCCACTTAGGTAGGTGTAGGGCTTCTTGACTGGTTGGGATCCCCGGGATGGTAAGAACCAATGATCACTGGAGAAAATTTGTGTGGTAGCTCAGAATCGTTCTCAAGGGATGGCGTAGATGCATTCATATCCAATGAGACTCTATCCCGGCCGATAACTGCTACCTTGTCGTGGTGGTCGGGCTTGAATACCGTAATGACCCAACATGTTAAACTGACTTGGACTCATGTCCGTGCAGGTCCTACCATGTTAGGAAGGTTGTTTGGATAGCGGTTAAAATAAAAGCAGTTACCATGGGGTACATGGGCTCCAGTATCCAATCGGATCAAATGGCGTATGAAGCCATATAGGTCACCGAAAACCATGGAAATGCAGCTCCTGACGCTGCTCTGCTACCTTTCGGATTAGACTCCAAGTCAAAGGCTCGGAGAGTGGTCCCTTAATAAAACCACCTGCTTCGGTCTGGGCGCCCGGGCAGTATCTCAGCCCTCACACAATGAATTGAATAAAGCAACAAACAATCAATAAAACTTATCGCGTGCTATTACTCGTGTTGCAATTTCCTTCTTTCTTCCCTTCCCGATGATAGTTAACGAATACTGTTTAAACTTGTTGAGCATGACTGTTTTCCTCCCAGATGAAGTTCTTTATCCGTTCTCTACTTATATATATATATATATATATATATATATATATATATATTTCTTTTGATCTATGCTGTTTCATTATTGCGTGGCGCATCCTTCTTGGTGCCATATTGTACCAAGATTTTAGGCGTTTAAATAAATAAATATAATAAATAAGATAATGAAACTCTATTGTTCTTCCATATTACTACTATTCTTGTTCCCTCACTCGCACTTATGTCTATTATCTCTCTACTCTTATTTTGTGTGCTACATGGAGGGGGAGTGGCAACTGGGACTTATGTACTACTGTGCAAAGTTCTATGCTGAAACCAGCCAACCAGAACATCATGTGGACATAAATCACTGTTTATGAGAGAGAGAGAGATAAAATCGTAACTTACTAATTTATAAAAATACTCCTCTTCATTACGCGCTTCTCGTTTACCGAATGCTCCACCAGCATCACGAATAGTACCTCCACCGCCACCACCCTTGGTGGAAAACCAAAAGTAGTAGAAGAAAAATAATTATCTCACATGAAATCACATTCATCAAGCTACACATATCATTAACGTTACATTTAGATTAGACAGACACCTAGTTTAAAAATAAGGAATAAAGTCAACAGTGTATTGATTACCACTTGACTTATTTGGGGAGTTGCAGCATTAAGCCTAATGAATTGACTGATTACTGACGAAATCTCAGCGTGGATATAAAAGACTAATGTGGTATTCATCAACTCACGTCATCATCTCCGACAATGATGTGATATCCGACTATCTAGCGAACAACCTGCGTACTGCACATTAGTTTACTCTGTCGTTTATTATGACTACAGGTCATGACCATTGAAAGTGGAAGATATGAATTGGTTAACTATCTTCAACCATAGTGTGTCAGTGGCACAGTGGTTAGGACGCTAGCCGACCATGATGCACATGGTCCAGGGTTAGATTCCCGGTCGACGCACTCCTTTACCTCACTAAACCAGTAATAAAAGCTAGTAAGGAGGAAAGGTTGAGTATGAGGCTAGCAACCCCATCCTGTAAAAATAAATAAACCACTGCTACCGTAACTCCAAAACTCTAGCGTGAAGCCTTATGTTCCACTGGGAACGTGAAGGAAAAAGAGAAAAAGAATCTTCAACCATAAACATGTTTGCGTTCTATTTTCTGTGTTTCTGAGGGGTAATATTACGGTTATGTGTGTAGTCTTAGGTAAAGAAGGTAAGTCAATCGATAAAGTTGTACAGTTATATCGAATAAGATGGCTGGGTCACGTGCCATGGCGTTCCTCGACAGATGTTAGTCAGCATCGAATTAGGTTGGGGAGGAGTTTACGAATGGTCAGACCAAAACCTGACATCTCCCCATGAAGTCTTTGACAGTTGGTTTCAGCCATGTAGGGGAGGTGTAGACTGCTTGGTTGGAATCTTCAGGATGCGAAGAACCAATGGCTGGAGACTATTGGTGATATGGCTTAAAATAGTTCTCAGTGATGCAGATGCCTGCACTATTTGTAACCTTTCGGATCTATTAAACCCTTCTGGGTTTCTTCGCATGTTACCTTTGTTTCTCCCATACATTTCTGATCTACATGTGTGAGCCTTCCTCGACGGGCAATGTCAGCTGACATAGGTTCAGGCTGGAAAAGAGCTAGCAGCGGTCAAACCAAAACATGGAGGCACCAGTCAATGAAATAAATGCACAACAGTTAGTTTAAGCCAGCCACGTAGGAAGGTGTAGACTTTCTGACTGGTAGCGGTCCTCGGGACGGTAAACACCAATGAAGGCTGGAGACAATCAGTGATATGGCTGGCACAAAATCGTTCTCAATGGCTGACACAGATACATCCACTCCTTGTGACTTATAATTTCCGGTAAAACTATATTATTCTTCGTTATTACTATTCCTTTGTTTCATTTCCCTGTCTACTGTCTCTATCATGCATTTCTACTTTCTTCTCTTGCTCTGTGTGCTACATGGAGTGTGGCGACTTGAACTGCTGCACATCGGTGCAAAGTCCTATGTTGAAAACAGACAGAAAGAAAGACGTGTGTGCGCTACATGTGGAGTGTGGCAACTTGAGGTGCTGCGCTTTTTTTCAAAAGCTCTGGGTTGAAATTCAGTCAGTAACGGTTGAATCAGGGTAATTGACGAGTAATTTTGACTTGAATACTGCCATTCGTATCCACTTATTTATACATCTCAATAATTTTAATGCCGCCTTTCTTTTTAGTACCTCCCATTTGATATGGATCAATACGCAGTCATACTAGGTTCTATGTTGACAATGTCTTTTCAAATGGTACAACCGAATAGTCTGAAAGAAAGTAAAAGTTTGAAACAGTGTAAAACGTTTGAAGGCATTGCTCTGAAGTGCTGTGATACTTTGTTTGTTACTTTGAGGAAGACATACATCGCCTCAAGCCTATGACTAACGTTTTCCTGCAAGAAAGTATTCAGCCAGAACGCGAAAGACAAGCTGTCACATTAGGCCACTTCAACGCGCATATACCAGTTTACTTGCTCTTGCGGAGCTGAGTACATTAGCCGTAGCATGCGCCAACTTGAAAAACGCGTTCGTGAACAGTATCCAGTCTGGTTAGTAAAAGGAGACCAAAAGCGTGTATACAATTCAGTGACAGGACATCTGGTCAATTCAGTACATTCGGTGCCATTCGAAAAATCCCTCAAAATAATATACAGGATTCGATCAAAGCGAGTAAAATTAAGACATCTCGGCATAGCCGAGGCAATAACCATCCAAAAGCTCAGATCTGCGCTATGTATCCAAAAGAAACACGTTCAACCCCTGTCCCTGCCGTGGCCATCATAAACAGATAATTCTTCCAATAGTGACTTTCTTATCCGAACTTCCTGTCTATTCTGTCATTTTATTATGTCTACATATTTAATCTCTGATTGCATAAACAATTATTCGTCACATTAGTAATGATCCCACTAGATTTTTTTAACCATCCACCCCTAACTGTACAATATGTCAATCTTCTCAGAAATTATGATGCCACTTTGTTTGAGTTTTATTCGTGCCCCCTGTTTATTATGGTATTTTAATAAGCTAACTGTAATTTTACTAATCTGACCCTTGACTGGAAATTATTCTGGAACTTTCCTATCCATTTATTATAAATACATGAATGTACAGCCTAGTCGATGATTTCGTCGAAAAGAAAACTTTCTTCGCTGCAACTGTCTTTTTATTCTTTTTATGATCAAATGTGTATATTCTGTTGTTTCCAGTCATTAAGTCATACGTCTAGTACCTATGACACATCTCTTGGAATTAAAACATATACATTCGGTATGGTTAATACTCAACACACATGCTATAATAGTTAATCAAACCAGATCGAAAAAGTTCTAATGTATGTGTCTTTCCACTCTTTTGCATTCCCAGTAGAACATCGATTCTCAAGCGTGAGCTCTGCGACAACTTCACGCCCAACTTCTCCTCTTTACCGGGCTTATTACCGGCTAGACGGAATTTAGGTTTGAGTATGTCGGTAATCGAACCCTGACCATACGTGTGATCGGCGAATATTCTACCACGGAATCATCAACGCACGAGGTGTGATAATTCAAGGCTAGGTACAAAATCTTGGTCACAACAGGATGAAAAGTGAGCCATCGTCCCGTATCCCCTTAACACATCGGAAAATTACTAATAAGATGAAGAGTTCAATTCTCCTAAAGTTTACTGAAGCAATCTCTATCAAGCGCCTGAAACCCGATTTATGTGTTCAGAAAGGAGCAGTTATCAACCTTTTCTTCTTGTCCTAGTAACTGGATGCTTTTTATTCTCTTTCGTTTGTTTGCATAATGGCAAAGATTCCACTCTGTATGATTATTATTCTTTGGAATAAAGTAATTATTATTATTAGCATTGTATGCATACATTGATTTTCTGTTTAAAAATGAACCCTGTGTATGTTAAAATTGTCTATATACATAAACTTGATAACGTCGTTAGGCTGCATGCAGATGATGAGAAGCCGACGAAATAAATCATGGCACCACTTAATTCTGTACAAAATACTCTTGATGTTTTTTCAAATTCACCTTTGGTCAACAGTACCCTATCAACCCAGGGCAATGCCAGATAATCTTATCATCAGGTACAGATAGACGATTAAGACATATCACAATAAGAAGCTAAATTAGACGTACTTGAAATGTATAAATAAAAAGAGAAAACAACTAAAACTACACGAAAAGCACTTACTATACAAAATTATGAGAAACGTATAAAAATTGGACAAAAAAACACCCGAAAAATGAAAATTAAAAAAAAAAAATTAAGCACCTTGCCTGCACCTCGACCAAACTCATCACCAGGATACAAGCGAATAGATCTGAAAGTAAGCAAATATAAACTAGATTTAAAACATATTAATATATGTGTAAAACTTGGGCACTGTGGTAGTATGTAATTCCATATTAGTTTGTTAATTAGATATATCACACAGTGAAACAGTATTATTTACTGGATGACGTTTCGAACAAAATTTATTACTGTTCATAATCCCATAAATTATAATCACACGACTTTGAAACTTGAGCTTTATAGTTTTCTTTGTCTTCTCCTATTTGTCGTCGTTGGGGAAGTAGCATTTCCCAGATATCTGGGACAGATGTTGAATCATTCCTATTACATGTATTTGCAGTTGATTCGATAAACAAACTACTAGAACAGGGGCAGTCAGACTAGCCGAACATAAAAACCTAGCAGAATCTAGATTAGTTGACACAAATAAGATAAGAATTCTAGAGAATAGTTCAGCTACACCACTCACTACATGCAGTTACACACAACCATACAATATGATGGATGGGATAGGATGACAGTTTTAAACTCTAATGTAACAAGGTTTGAGGGAGGGAGATATTGATAACGGAAGCTTTACTTATTGAATCAACTGCAAACACGTGTAATAGAAATGATTTAACACTTGTCCAGCGAGATATCTGGAGAATTCTATTACCCAAACAACGGCAAATAGGAGAAGACAAAGAAAACTATAAGGCTCAAGTTTCAAAGTCGTGTGATTATAATTGATGAAATGACTATGAACAGTAATAAATTTTGTTCGAAACGTCATCCAGTAAATAATACTGTTTCACCGTGTGATACATCTAATAAACAAATTGATATAGATTTAAAACACCCTGTGTGTTAAGCGACAGTTGAATTATGCAAAAGGCTATAAAAGAAAACGTTTCCAGTGAGCTTCAAGCTGAGATCTGACACGATCAGTGCTGGGTCCGAGACGTGTGTATTTTTCAGCAGTTCTTATTTATAGTTGTGGAACACACATTGAAAGCTGAATATATGAAATGGTTACTTGTCTTTGACCACAGATATTTGTGTTCTGTCTCCTGTGTTAGGTGGTATACTACAGCAAGTATTAATGCAGTCAGACGTAGTGGTATATAAGGAAAGGAACTTAATCGATCAGGTTGTGAAACTACATCGACTGAAATGCCTAGGACAAGCTTAGCCACCAAATTCTTCAACAAGCATGCCGGCTGTTATAAGATTAAAGGTGGTTGGACCAAACCTGGCATCAATCCACAAGACGTGATAAAGACTGTGCGATCGCACAAGAATAATGGAGGGACTGATTGGTGTTAACATGAGTACGGTTACTGGTGGACTAATGGGCGGATAATGGCTATATCACACTATTCCTCCCACTTTGTCCACTTTATTACTCCCTTGACAAGCCACATTTCTCCTATATTTAATTATTATTTCAGTATTATTTTCCGGTTTTCATACTTTATGTAACCAGTGTTTCATTTCTAGTCTACCTTTAGCCACATTACTCTAAAATCTCAGTTACTTTCACATATTCTGAGCTCGCTTTATCACTACTTCTCCGCGTATTAGCATCCCCAAGCTTACTATAATGCTGAATTAAATCTCACATTCTGAAATAATTCTAACATTCTATGGTGAGAAAATTCTGAATCTGTTCTGAAATGGATTCTTTGGTGGCACAGACTAAAACTCAGTGCTGGTTTTCAGCACGGCTGGCACTAATTCAGCACTGTGTCGTTTTTCTAGTGGATGAGGGAATGCAGTGTGATAACTGCAAGAGATGGTTTCACAGTATGTGCACGAACCTTACTCCAGCAGCATACAAACGCTGCTGCAAACGTCTAGCAAACTGGTTGTGCAACGACTGTTGTAGTACAACTAAACTCCGTATTACAGAAGCCATTGCTACTCTTAGTGGGGCTTTAAAGCTCATGGACTGCAAGCGTCCTCCACCACAGAGGAATACCGACTATTGCTCAGATAACGATGACGTGACTAGCGTTATTGACAAAACAGCACATGTCCCCGATGCGACCTTGCCAATAAGTGAGTGCTCTACAGCACAGAAGAACACCCACCAAATTCCAGACACCCAGGCTGCCCCCACGATATTGGATAAGCCCTCCAGTGACAGTAATAGAAAGACTGCCGCGAAGAAGAGGAGTACCAGGGGTCGAAAACCTGCAGCTCCAGTCGCCCAGGGACTGACGGAACAAGCCTCATCCACACCGGTGAGCAGCAGACAGACAAACCCCATTACGATTAGCGAGGAGGACGCCAATGAATGGCGCACTGTAGTCTCTCGCAAAAAGCGAGATAAGGATAACACTTCGGCTACACCACCCAAGAAGGATAGAAACACACTTACGCCACAGGGCAAGAAAGTCACGGAAAGAAAACCCGATCTCTCTGACAGGTCTCTCATTCTCCACAAAGTGGAGGAGTCACTGGCCCTCGACCCTAAGACCAGATTCGAGCATGACCTTAACTTGGTCAAGCCCCTTTTAGACAAGCTACTGCCACAAACAGTATCAGGCATTACTATACACAGCGTATACAGAATAGGTCAAAAGCCTGACCCTACAGTAAGTGAACCTGTACGTCTCCTCAAAGTCGTACTAAACTCTAAAGCAGAGAGGGATGCTATTCTAAGCAACTCTCATATTCTCAAAGGATCAGGGATATATGTCCGCGCTGACTTAAGCCTAGCAGACCGTGTCAAAAGACAGGCTGCGGCACTAGAATTAAGTGAGCGACGCCGGAACGGTGAGAAGAACCTTAAGATTAAGGGTTTTCGGGTTGTCCGAGTTCGCAGTTTAATGATCCCGAAACCTCTGTGGGTGGGCCGGGGAAGCACCAATCTGAATTAACAGTCTGCTACACAAACGCCCGCAGCCTGTTAAATAAAAGGACTGAGCTGGCAAACATGATAGAAACCGGAAACCCGGATGTAATTATTATCACAGAGACATGGCTCACACCCGATGTCACTGACAACGAAGTTAACCTGCCAAACTTCGAAGTGCACAGGGTAGACCGACTAAACCGCAAAGGAGGTGGCGTAGTCATCTACCTCAAGAAAGGCTTAACCGTGCGTAGTATCGAAGCACTCGCCCACGAAAGTGAGTCGTGCGAACTTCTACGCTGCAGACTTAAATGCATAGGCCAAGACATTGACCTCATTGCTGTGTACCGCAGTCCTGACTGCAGTGCAGACGACTTCCTAATAGAGAAGCTAGGCTCCTGGACTTCAAAATGTCGAAGTCTCGTAGTCGGTGACTTCAACGCCCCAACAGTTGACTGGTCGAGCCTAACAACTCCATCTTCAGTCAACTGCTAGAATGCAGTATATCGCTAGCCCTAGTCCAACATATCATTAAGCCCACGCGCTATGACTCACAGCACTCCTCATCAACTCTGGACCTAGTGTTCTCACACGGTGAGGATGTGGATCTCATACAACATCTTCCTCCGTTAGGAAGAAGTGACCATGCTGTGCTCACTTTCAAGTTCACAGCAACGGCAGCAAGGGCCAAAACCCCAGCTCGACCAAACGTTTGGAAAGCTGACATAAATGCGATCGTCTCAGCAGCCAACTCAGTAAACTGGTACATCAATCCAGAGTCCCAAGTAGAAGCCGCATGGAACCAATTTAAGCAACTTTACGCCCAAGTAACTGTACCCTTCATCCCTTGGTCTGTTCCAAAGGGTCGGAAACATTCCCCCCTTGGATAAACCGGGAGATTCGTAAGTTACTCAGACGTAAACGCAAATGTTGGAACCTGTTTGCAACACTTGAGACTTCTGAGACCAGGGAATTATATACTACTGCTAGAAATAAAGCTATCGCAGAAATCCGCCAATCAAGGATGAAGTTCGAGACACACCTGGCCCAAAATGCAAAGGCACAACCTAAGAAAATTTTCTCGTACTTGAATTTCAGGAATAAAACACCCAATGGTGTCCCAAACCTGATTATTGACAAAGATACAATCGAAGAAGATCAAGAAAAAGCAGAAGCAATGGCAAACTACTTCTCCCAAGTCTTCACTCAGGAGTCATCACTGCCTATAGGATCAGCTCTGGCTGCATCAGAAGAACATGGGATAGATTCCGTTGACATCGACCAAGGCATCGTGCTCAACTTCTTAATGAAACTAGATGCAGGAAAATCAATGGGTCCTGACAGTCTTCATCCAAGGCTTCTCAAGGAGCTATCAGCCCACATAGCCGGCCCCTTGACCACGATCTTCAAGCTATCTCTCCTAAATGGAGTGTTGCCACGTGATTGGAAAGACGCCATAGTAACCCCCATACACAAAGGAGGATCAAGACAAAGCCCTTCAAATTACAGGCCTATCAGTCTCACCAGCACTTTAATCAAGACACTGGAAAGAATTATCAAGAAAAGCATCATGGCTTATCTGGAAAATAGCAGCTTGTTATCTGGAGCACAGCATGGCTTCCGGAGGAACCTCTCATGCCTGTCAAATCTCCTGACTGCAAGAGAAAGCTGGGTCAAATCAAAGGACAACAGAAGACCCGTTGACGTCGTCTTCATAGACTTCAGTAAAGCCTTTGATAAAGTACCTCACAAAAGACTACTCATGAAATTGGAAAGTCTTGGTATCAAAGGCAGACTACTAGACTGGCTCAGGGAATTCCTCATAGATAGGAGGCAGAGGGTTAGGATCAACTCAAAACTCTCCTCCTGGACAGCAGTAAGTAGCGGAGTGCCACAAGGCACGGTTCTCGGTCCTCTCCTTTTTATTCTGTATATCAATGAGTTACCTCTGCTCACCGACTCCCCTATGGTCCTATACGCAGATGACTTAAAAATTTGGAGAGAGCTGAAGGGCAACAGTGATACGTCCAACTTGCAAGAGGACCTCAACAAATTGTCGGAGTGGTCTGTTGAATGGATGCTCCCGATCAATGTGGCAAAATGTGCAACCATGCGCATTGGACAAGCAAGCACGAGCTCCTACGAACTAGAGGGAATAACACTTCCATCAGTTCAGACTCACTTGGACTTAGGTGTCATAGTTAGCCACGACTTAAAAACTACAGCACACTGTCGCGCGGTGGCTGCACGTAGTTTCAGGTCCTTATGGGCGATTCGCAGAGCCTTTACAAGAATTACCAGAGATATGTTCACCTCCTTATACACATCTCTGGTTAGGTCAAGACTGGAAAACTGCATCCAGGCCGCCAGTCCGTGTCTAAAAGGGGATTCACACATTCTAGAAAGTGTTCAAAGGAAGGCAACACGTATGGTTCACGGCATAGCTAACTTATCATACGAGGAAAGACTAGATAGTTTAAATCTCTTCTCACTGTCATACCGTAGGCAGAGAGGAGATTTAATCACAATGTTTAAAATTTTAAATAATGACTACGGACCTGACCTATTCTCTCTTTTCCTTCCCACCAGGTCGGAACACCTTAGAGGACATAGCAGGAAAGTTCAAAAGCCAAGGAGAAATCATATTGCTGTTGAGTACTGGTTCTCACATCGAGTCATAAACTCTTGGAACCGACTCCCAGAAGAAGTGGTGTCTGCAACCTCAACTGATTCGTTCAAGAAGGGTTTGGACAACCACAGAAATCTACTAGAAAAGGATTAACATAGGCTGCAAGCCTTCTATCCTCAACCAATAAATCTGAATCTGAATTCTCAGTAGATCAGAACCTATTGGGTTTGCTTATCAGCGTTGTTCCAGCCCTCACAGGACATATTAAGCACGACCAGCGTTATTTCAGAACGAAAATTTCAGACAAAATCTTCATTTACCATAAAAAGTATTATCGAAGAACAGGTTAGTATAGGTTTAGAATTGTCGTAAGCTTTCTGCAATTATATGATTACGATTCTGGTATTGCCATCCATTCTACAAGTAGGATGATGCAGGAAGGCAGTTCATCCTGTATGTCAAAATATAAATAAAAAGAATATTTATGCTTATATTATGTAAAGTCGCGTTTTTATTCTAACGATCGTTATCTCGAGATAAGTTCATGAACCTTCTAAGATCTCATGAGTACTTACCCGATGGACAAAGGCTTCAGGTACGTCATAGGATTCCTTAGAACCCCTTTAAGGTTCTCCGGTACAGAAAATGCCAAACGCTGCATGTTTACAATTTATCGCAGCAATTCTAGATTACACGTCGCGCCACGCCAGCTTCAAGGTTGACGCAGGACATATAGAGCATAAAAGCGCTCGATCGCGTCTCAGAAGAAGAGAACTCACAGATAAATTCATCTTTTCTAAAAGGAGCAGTAGTAGTGTCTCGTCTTAGTAAATAGCTGTTGGTTATGATGACAGCCTATTGCAGAGAAAGGCTTTAAATGCCATTGCCATATCGGGTGAGTTAACCGGTTGAACATCACTTCTTAAAAATCATGGCATACAGCAGCGCACCTCATATGGTATTAAAAAACACCTAGAGTTAAAAAACAGATCTCAAGTGGATTGGGAAAGAGGTGAATGGACGTGAATGAGTCCGGGCTGGCATCATAGAAGTAACAGTAATTAGAATTCCCTCGTCAAAAAGGCCTATTTTGGTGTAAGTATTGTGCTGTAGCCACTTCGCTTGTCGAAAACTTGAAACAAAGGAAGTATAGACAAATATGTGGTTATTTAATAAGTATATCTGAATTACTAGGCATCATTTTGATGAAGATATTGTCATGTTTCCTGGGACCTAAATGTCAGTGAACCATGGAATGGAAACTTTCAGCGCATCAGCTTTCAAAGCCTCAACATCATAGAGATAGAAGTAGTTGTTGTTACCAAAAGATACTATTTGAAACTCAGAGCACTATGCAGTAGCCAAGTCTGCTTCAGAAGAATTTAAGTACTCAATAAACGGACCAGTTATAATCCATGACAATCATCAGCAGTTAGGTAATAACAATGAATATTAGTGAACGAGAATACAAAGGTGATTGGGAAGCAGAACGAAGGAAATATTTCTCCATACCCTGGGAGTCACATTACTCACTTAAACAAGTAGCTATCATCAACGTATTGAAGTTTACATGGAAAGGACTGGCACACTGAGAAACGAATCCATAGCATAGATAAAATTAGTAATTCCTTTGTCACTGGCGGTATAGTAACATTGCCGTAAAGCCATCCAGATCATTATTTGTTTCACGTAGGAATAACTGATATACCTAAGCTGTCGACCACAATTTTCGATGAACAGCTAAACGATGTTTATCATACTGATAAAAGTGAAACCACTGTTGAAACTCCGCCTATCCACTTTGCTATTTACAGAAGGTTGGCGGATGAGAAGGAAATCTTCAGGACTTTTCTTCCAAATACGCATGCACTTTATTCCGAGGTCTTGACATTCGTAACAGGTGAACCTAACATTATTATTATTCCCTCGGGTCCCCAGTGGATCATAAGGCTTCAGCAACGCATATCCACTTTGTTCTATCCTCTTCAGCTGGCCCCACGATTGATCGTAATCTCTCGTCTCCTCCTCCTCGCACGATCTTTTCTAAGTCACCCTCACACTGACGACCCACTCGTCGCTTCTTTTTGTCCCACAATGAGAACGAAGTCATAGACGGCCTCCTAAACATATACCGGATCCATCTTCATTTTCTCCTACAAATTCACTTGGTGAGCAATGGGCTCTTGGTTGGTTTGCTGCTAGCTGTTTTTTTCTTGTTGCTAATTCCTTCAGGTCAAGAACGTAACACGAGCAAACCTAATCTCGAAAAAATACCCATCAAAGCGAGTTAATTTACTTCTATTTCCCGGGAACGTCAATGTGACCAGTGGCTATTTTGCAAGTTTGTGAACAAATGCCGGCACGATCATCTTCCAGTAGTTTTTCTCAGACATTTTTCATATTTTCAAAGCGAGCAGGAAAATCATCCATGTTAATAGGTGCATGTACGTCAGATATACACTCCTAATTCAAATGCACATGGTCAGTTGGTGCTATACGAATCTTACGTAGGCACTTTCATCGGAAGTGAATGCTATTAGGCAGGATAGATGGCCGCACAGCAGTCATGGGCGTTACTTATAGTCAAAGCCAACCGAAAGCAAACTTGAATGTGTTCACACAGCCAAACTAACTGGCTTCCTGGATCGCACCATCATATTCATCATGGTGTGTGTGCAAATATGACCAGTGTAATTTACCTCATAAAAGAGAGTTGCTTTACCGACTTGAATACATCCTCTCAGCTGGGTGATTAGAATGTAATGCTTTCGCTTTCCCTCTAAACAAAATCCTGGTTGTAGATTTTAGCATTTCGCAGGATTATCTGAATCATTCATGAGTGATATAGTTGTATCCGCTGAGAACATTTGCTGCGACTGTTTGTTAATTTTAAGTAGTATTTTTTGGTTTCACTGATGTGAAACTTGACCTTTCTTCGTCACAAAACTTATTATTAGACAGGCGTAAATTTGTTCTGTAGTTATGGCAGTTAATAATAATAATATAACAGCTTTATTCCAAACGGTATTTGTGGTACAGGTATGGAATTTTCAGCGTGTGATTTCTCTGAGTGCCAAGCTTCTATAAACCTCTTGGTGACTTCGGTGTTTCCAGCGCATGAAACGCTCATATGCCTTCAGTTAAATTGTCTAAATGTATTAGTTTGAAAGAATATATGCCATGTCTCCTCATAGCCAGTTTATGTTCTTGGTCTCTAAGCTGAAGGGGAGACTCATTTGGATAAATGTAGTGCTTCTCACAGCTAATGCAATATATTTTCTAAATGGTGTCGACCTTGTCCTCCTTTTCTATTGCGCATATAGGCCTATATAATTTCTAATGAAGTGATCATTTCAGTTTGCGTGCTTCCACTGTTTAAAATTTCCGCTGCATACCTTCACAGTTGTTATTAATAATATGTTTATTCCTGTTCATGCAGGAAAACACCTATTGTACAGGTATGGATAAGTTGTTATATAAATTACACATAATATCATGCATAATGCATTTACAGTTTGGTTGTTCTTTCTGACATTAGAGTCAGTCGGAACAGTCTGCCGTGAAGTCTGTCTGTGTAACACATAAAGAGATATAGAAATATTGTCTTCGAATTAGCAAAAAACCCAGACATCAGATGAATGCAATACAGGTATCTGGGACAAATAAAGCTTGAAGTCAATTCTCCCATTGTCAGCCACGTCTCGTAAACCGTTAATGCCCAGCTCTTGCTACGCTCGGGCTCACGCTGTCGCTTGAATTTTCTCAGAAACGCTTAGTAATAACGGACGAAAAAACCAAAACACCAATTGTTGACTCGAGGATTCTTTATTGTTGCACCAACATATAAATGACATATGACTAAGGTCTGTGAACAGATATTACAATAATAAATCACAATATCACTTCTGACAGTTGTCTCCTGACTTCTTTCTGAACAGCGACCGATGAGACGATGACTGTCGTATTGATGCCTCCGCGAAATTTGGGGAAGTTGGTTTTGAGCAAACAACCATGAATTGATCGTTCAATCTTCAACTCCATTGACACTCCCCGGCAAAAAAAGGGATCCAACCGCTTTTTTCCATCACGACCAATACACGTTGACTTGGATGCCATTGCGAGAACCTGGGTCACACGGACAGAGCTGAAATGGAAAACAAACAGAAAAGCCAACACACCACAGGCATACTCACAGCACAATCTCACATATCAATGACGACCTGCGCCTTCCAGTTAAAGGCGTCCTCTTGCAACACAATCACCACTTGCTAGAATGACTCTTGCAGAATGCAACGTGACCATGGCACCACCTCACGATACTCTACGCTCATCCTCTTATCTACTCACTACCAATTGATTTTTTTATTTTTTTTATTTACAGCTTGATTCCACACTGTATTTTTGGTACAAGTATGGAATTTTCAGCATGGATATTGGTAGCCCAAATTTTGCAGGCCGACCATAGATATCAGGTGTGCGTCGGCGCGGGCTCGAATCCCGGACCATGTGCATGGTCGGCGAGAGTCCTAACCACTGTGCCACCGACGCACTGCAATCGCTTGTCACTCATTCTGCCTCAGTTCTAGTAACGATGACGTATGCGAGCCTCAGTCGTTTACACTCTTTCTCCCCGGCGTGTGGGATCACACTAATCATTTTCTCCGTATTCATTTCATTCTCAGGAATATCCTCCCCGGCGTATACGACCCATCTGCTGTCCTTAACATCAATCAATTCATTCACGGATGTAGAAGACTGGAAACAACTTCAGAAGTAATCACGACGAAAATTTTAACAAAATTATGCAATAACAACAAGGTACGAAACAACAAGTGAACACAATTAATCCAAAAACACCGATTGATATGACACAACACACATATATACAAACAGTACACACAAATTCGCAGTTCATGTCTTGATGGAATTCCTTCGAAGAATTGCAGGACTTACACCAGTACGCCTACAACCCTTCACAGGTCAACGATTGTAAGTTGTGGAATGTCCGGACACTAACAAGATTAGCCAACAATTAAGATAATTGGAACTCATACAACTATTTAACACAAACATATGTACAATCACCAAAAATAAATAAATAAATAAATATATTCTCATGATACAGTACATGAGGGACGCCAGTTTACAGGCATCATCAAATTGTTACAGAAATAGGACCATATTATTCAGTCACAATTTACAGTCGATAGCAAAATATGTTTAACATGTACACTGGAGATTATACATACACTTGATAAATGTTAATCCCAATAGTATAAAACATCCTTTTCACTTATGTACAATCATTTCTGTGCATAGTTGGAAAAATCCGCTAGATTGTCAGTGAGTGCAACACATCAGGAAATACAGAAGTATTGTCTTCGCATTAACAAAACACCAGGTCTTTGGTGGATGGGTTATAAGTGCCTGGGAAAAAAAATAAAGCTTGAAGTCAATTTTCGCACAATACTTTGTTGTGTGCAGAGTCCTTGATTTATAGTTCACTGATGTGTTATTTTGAAATCAGTGATATGTTTATCTCATTTGATCTGCATTTTCATTGTTGGGAGTATAATACACAAGCTGTAGACGCATTAATTAATGGATTTCTACTGCTTGTGGGTATTTACTTCTCGTGAGGGAGGTTTTTGAGTTCTAGTTGTTCCGACAGGAGTTGTGGATATTGACTGCTCAGCAACATTACGGATATAAGTTCATCACATTATCTCAGGAATGTTGGGTTGTAGTTGGTGAGGCATATATGATGTCCGACGAGCGTACATCTGTTCGTGTGATGTTGTGGTGAGTTATATTTT